TCTCACACAAGTTATCCTAACATAACAACATTATTAATAAAAAATAAAACAGTTTGTTGGAACAGCAAAAAAAAGTTCGTGGGTTTACCCAACATGACATAAGGTTGTCAAAATCAAGCTGCATAAATGACCTACTTTCCGCATCTCCGACATTTTTTAAAATGAAAAAATATTTTAATGAGCTGTAAAATGTGATAACCTTCATCTTGTGATCTTGTTGTGTTGAAAATTTATGGCAAAAAATTTTGCGTCCCTTTTTGATATTCTTTGCATGACTGTTTGCTCCTGCATCCCCTTTTTATCACCATTCATGGATGTTTTCGAGTCAAAACTCAATGCAGAGCAATGGCAGCTGAGCAGCGCACGATAAGTCACGTGATGTCCAGTCCAGTGATACAGATCCATGTATGACTGGGAGGTATATGACCACGCTGAAACATCTTGTAAGAACKTCTGGACTCACTCTGGTTCTTCAGAAAACATACTTTCTGGGTTCAGCTGTATCCTGAGTTTCTAAAACAGATATTATAAAATGATGGTTCTCTTACACAACGCTGCTATGAAAGGTTGTGAAGATATGCTGAAGTGGGAGTGTCAGAAAGGGAAGGAGGTTCTRAAAGAGCAGAGCCTGACCTTCTCCCTCACATCCCAAAGACTCTCCATGGACTCTGTGGAGCCAATCCATGTGTGAGAATGATGTCTCATYCTTCCTGAACCACTCTTTCACAATAAGAGCCTGATGAATCCTGGCTTTGTCTCTTGGAATGTGTCCGTCCCATCAGGGAAGGTTCTGTGAGCTGAACCTGGACCTGACCACCTGCAGAGACCCACATCATGGGCCTGCGTTACATCCAGGTGGACACTTGGTTTTTGGAATCTAACTCTGTGTCTGGTGGTCAATAAAAAAGTAAAAAAATAATCAATAAAAACGACAGAAACGGTTCTTTTAATGGTTGACTAACAGGTGACAGCTAAAATTAAAGATATAAATCCACCTTATAGATACAGAGACGTGATTTCATTTTTAAATACAATGTGTGTGTGTGTGTGTGTGTGTGTGTGTGTGTGTGTGTGTGTGTGTGTGGGCAGCAGCTGCTGGCTTTTGTTGCAACACTCAGAGCTGCAGGGAGGCCTGGAACACATGCTCCATCAATCATAATCTTCTCCGCTCCACAGGGTGCAGACGGAGCCGAACACGACTTTTCCACAGGAGAAATGTCTGCGTTTGATCGAGTTCATCCCTCTTTTCAGGCTTTACCATAAAGTGCACCCCCCCCCCCCACACACACACACACACACTCCAGGTCCTCGCAGAGAGAGAGAGAGCGATCTGACTCGTCTCAATCAACGCAGAGTTATTGATGAAACCAGAGAGTGGTGCAGTGAGTGGGAGAAACCCTGCAGCCTTTTTCACACACAATTTAATTTTAGTGGAACTGAAGAAGCTTTTATTCTGAAGAGAAACAGTATTTTGGATTATTTCTGTTTAAAATTAATTGTTCATAAAGAAAACAGCTTTTTTATTTTACATAAAGCAGGGGTGTCCAAACTACGGCCCGCGGGCCACAGCAAATTCTGAAAATATAAGTGAATATGGCCCGCACAAGAAGCGGTCCATTTATTGCYGAGCCTCTAGCTCCGGCTCTGAGCGTCTGATCCGGGCGGAAGAGGGCTTATTTTAAAACTCTGGATCTGTGCTACAACCTGGAGCTGGTTGCAAGTTCCTGGGACGTTTCCCCACGGAGATATAAGCGGTCAAATGTCGGCGGGCAAGCTCCGGCGGGTGAAACGGCTGAATTTCAGCACGGGGCTGCTGGTGCTGATGCAGGGGAATAAAAGGAAGATGCAGGGGAATAAAAGGAAGATGCAGGGGAATAAAAGGAAGATGCAGGGGAATAAAAGGAAGATGCAGGGGAATAAAAGGAAGAGATCCAGTCAGGTGGAACCAGTCCTGAAAGCTCAGCACCAGGTTTCATACCTGCAAGCAGGTGCAGCCCCTCATGGGCGATATTTCTACAAAAATGCCTYAAAATGGATAAAAATCACAAACTGCAGTGACCTTATGCCCAATAGGTGAGTTAGAAATACACACATTATTGATGTATSKATATGTCAGTGTGTGGCCCGGCCCTTMGTTSATTTTTCTGTTTGGCCCTGACTAAATAAGTTTGGACACCCGTGCCGTGAAGGGATAGTTTTGGGTGAGTCCTCACCTGTCGAGTGKGACGGCGCTGAAGCTGAGCACAGTGACGGAGCAGAAGAGCTTCTGCAGGAACTTCAGGCTCTTGCAGAGCAGCAGCGTGTGAAGCCACAGGCAGCAGCGGGGGCTGGCCCCCAGCGCCACATCGAAGGGCACGCACACCAGACCGGCGCAGATCCCCGAGCACGCCAGGTTCTTGATGAAGCGATTGGTCACGGATTTAAAGACGCTGGTGCAGCAGGTGCACCACAGCAGTGTGGCGTTACCTGTGGAGACAGAAAATTTTAAATAATCCAATTATTCATTTAAGCATAAACTGTTCCCGTTTCTGTGTGAACTTTACATGAAGCAGGAAAAAGGATTAACAAAATAAAAGCATATTGTTTGGAATCATAATTACATGCTGCCACTAAAGCTTTGTGCACTTTAATATTCATCTAACACGTGTCAAACTCAAGGCCCGTGGGCCAAATCCGGCCCTCCTAAACATTTTATCTGGCCTCAAAGGTAATATTTTAAATGTAAAATAAATTTAAGGGGGATTTTCTGTTACTTAGTGCAGCCTTTTCATGATGGTAAGTAGTTGACTGTATTTCTGTTTTCTCTTCTACTTTTAAAGTCACATAACTGGATTTTTAATTAAGGTTTTCTGTGTTTTTTTTTAATCTGATTTGCTGGATTGTGACAAAATGTATCTCTGAGAAACAGTGAATGAAATAATTGTGAGTAATGTAGGGCCTAAAAAATAAAAGCTACTGATGTGTATTTATTAGGGTATGTTATAAATYCTATATAAAATAGAATTTTGTAAAAAAGAATATGTATTTTTATAAGAATAACTTTTCGTTTAAAACCTTTTTTAATATAAATATTGACATAAATTGGCCCTGGGCTGTGAGTAAATGAGTTTGACCCCCCTGATCTAACCCAACACCTTGCATGATACCTGCAATAATGTTTGCTGAGAAGAGACAGAGTTTAACAGTTTTAGATGCTCWGATGCTTGATTGAGAACATTAGTGCACAAAACAACCATGATGTTAATTATAAACAGGTGTCTTCATGCAAACAACCATCAAACCTTTAATATTTAATGAACAAAAAGGTGTTTTTCATCTCCACTCTGTCTTCTTCAGCCTGAAAACACCTGATTCCTCAGAAACACCTTGAAAACCATTAGCAACCAACAGACACAGTAAACACTACAAATGAGTCAAACTACAGACAGTTACCAAGAACAATTAAAAATCACAAACAGGGAAAGACCAGCTGTTAATTACTGTTAATAAGCTGCTTTATCAGATGCATCCAGGTGTCTAAAGATAGCAGCAATTAGGAATAAGTGCGAGTCATTATTCACACGTTTAGTAGCTGTTTGTGTRGTCATCGTTGTCGCTTCCCGATGGTGTTATAATTACTTTATTTCCCATGACAAATATTTTATGAATGGCGACTGTTCGAAGCACAAGAGACGACTAACATACACTTAACACAAATATCAAATAAAATAAGATAAAAATAAAATAAAATATGCTGTCCTGTGACATGCTGCAACACATTAAAACTAACAGTAAAGCTTTAGCTCTGCTCACTTGGTTTAYATGTAACAAATTTATTGTTTGTCCAGACTTCACTTGGTTGTTGTGATCAACTTGAGTTACTTCCTGAAACTCAAACTGACTGATTCATTAAATATTTTACTAACAAACAAACAGGATCAGTTGGAGATGACTGCACCGCTCAGTCTTAGCTCAATAAKTGCTAAACTGACCGAGTTGTGCTTTTTAAGGTCACTTGCAGGGGTGTCACAAAGAGGGGAGCTCATTACTGCTCTCCTTCTCACAGCTGCATAATGTTTTAATTTATTTAATCCTCATTTATAAATGCTTCCCAACAGGCCAGACAAAGCAGGCAAGATAATTTATCTTAATTAGTTATGTTTTAAGGTTCTGGGTTGTTCTGAGAATTCAACAACATAACAGTCTTGCCTGCATTTAAAGATATAAACAATATAAGGTTTAAAAAATACTGAAAAATAGAAAATCCAAATTGTTTAATTTTGGAAAATTATTTCTACATCAAAAATAATTATAAGAAACAAAAAGCAGATACATGTGACAGTATGACAC